GAGACAGAGAGAAAGAGAGAGCGAGAGAGACAGAGACAGAGACAGAGAGAGGAAGTAGAGAGAAGATAAGAAAGGATAGAATAAGGAGAATTTGAATGAGAAAAGGATCTAATTACATTGCAGCTGCACTTTTCATCAGATAAATCTAATACATGTATATCTGATACCACTATACTTGTCCATATTAATGATCATAAGACATGACACAATAATGAAATGCTTCTTTGAGTCTCATAATCTTGTTTGACAACATTACCATAATATCATCCAATAAATAAATAAATAAATACTCGTACTGCTTCAGTACAGCTCTATGTTTTAATATTACATGTTTCTACTTTAGGCTACGAAGGATTTTTTTGGTTACGTTGCCAAAGACCCCACCAATGGAAGAGGTACTAGTACACAATACACATGCAACATGTACATGTACACACATCTAAATGTATATTATACCTTCATATTTACTTTTATTTTAATATTGACTCTTTTTTCCTTCTATTCCATTATACTGTGATTTTCCTTGAGCTTGCATGATAGACAAGCATAAATGTGTTATGCACACGCTCTGTTGTGGTCATGGAGGAATTAAATACATGTACATGTACATGTACATGCACCCACTTAATACTGATCACAGCAGAGTGTGTACATAAAACATTTCTGCAAGTTTAAGAACATGTACATGTACATATTATGGATCCTTTACATTAAACTAATGTATAATTGTATCTTTCTCTCTCCTCAGCTTGTCATGTCTTCCATTGTCCTGATAACACGGCTCAGCTAGTGCTCGCGTCAGTCGGTCAAGCATTTGAGTTGCGTTACAAGAGATACCTCAGCACTAATTCAAAGGGCGGGGCTACACCAATGACAACCACACCCACTTCTCATGATCAGTACATGTATGTGTCATTGACTTTTAGAAATATTATAACTTCATGTTTTTGTTGAATAAAATATGATAGAAGTGGAATAATGTGCTGCCTTTAGTATTTAATTTTTAGATTTTTATGTGTATTTAATTTTACAGTTACTACAAATTAATATAATTGAAAAAAATTACCTGCTTTTTAATTTTACCTTTTTGTCTTTTATCGTAAAATTAAAACCTCCTTAAAATATTCCACTTTTACAGTAACTTTGAACTTACACATTAAATTTTTCTCTCTATCTTTTTCTGTCTCTCTATAGTAAGCAGTCTTCCAAGCCTTCCCTCCCACCTCTCCCCCCTATACCAGCTCAGAGATCTACTGGTAGACTCAATGTCATTACGGACAGTAACTCGGCTGATTACACTGAACCTTACTCACCTCCAGCGCAACAGATCACTCTACCTCGCTACATGAACCACGGACCTAAGAAAAGACAGTTACCTCCTAATCCGGTTAGTTGATTAATGAATGTGTGTGTGGGATATACACCGTACATGTATGAGTATGGATTGTGTGTGGCTTAAAAATATGTACATTACACATGTACTCATCCAATTGACTTGTTATTCTAAAGTTTAATTGTTCATTATTACTCGTAGTATCATTATACATTTAATAGTACACGTACAATGTAGTATGATGTAGTTACATGTACATGTACATTTATGCGTCATAATTATGAGGAGTGATGTGTGTTTTCAATTTAATGTGTTATTTATTTGGTGTGTGTACTGTACACATACATGTACATATACACAATGTACTAGCTACTACTAGCTGTGTGTACATGTACATGTATGTACATGTATGTGTACCGGCTGGTATGTACAGTTTATGTTATGTGTTAGTGTCTGGATAGGACTTCTTGGTTTATGTTGAAGTTTGGTTTACTAAACACACACACTCATACTCACCTTGAGTGTGTGTACTGTGTACTTTACTCTTGTTTTTCTGTCCTACTCTTCCCTTCCTCTCCCTCCATAAACATTATCATCCTCCACTTAGTTTATTTTGTGCGGAATTGATTTTTGTGTTGGCTCAAATCAACTCTAAATTGTATCAAAACATTAACTTGTAAATCACAAAAAATTTATTAATTCAAACGAAAATTTAAGCAATAAAAATTTTAAGCCACGAACCAGCTACATGTATATTGTAATCCATTATTTACAGTAGCCTTCATATTTTGATATTTCCATATTTTTATATCTCCGTTATTTCCACAGCCTCCGTTAACTGTAACTAAACAGTCTCCAACTCAAGGACGGTCCTCTCATATCTCTTCATCCCAGCCCCTCCCTCCCCCTCCTCCTAATGTCCCTCCTCCTGCTCTATACTCTTCAGTTCCTCCTGTCTCCTCCTCTCACCCTGCCCTCAATCAGTCAGTTCTTGGGGTATACAGTGATGTACCAGGCTTCCCTGATGTAAGTACTCATTATTATTATACTGTACACACACACACACACACATGTAGCATGTAACATGGAAGTGAACCAAACAGCTTGATTTAAGCACTACAATAGTGCACATGGCTTTTTGAGCAACTTTAAAAATTCATAGAAAATCTAGATTTGATCGGAATGAGCTCAAACTTTTGACAC